ATAAACTTCTTATATGCCCAATTTTTGCTTTTATGAGGAGTAAAGATGACATGGTTATTTCACGGTGTACTATTTGTATGCAATGATCTGGTTACTTTGGTTGGAGAGGAATGTCAGAAATCTTAAGGGTAACTCCTTATAGTTACCACTACTTTGGGATATTGTGGTCTTCTTATTCCTTTGATATGTTAAAGGGCTTTCTTCATAGGATATTGAGATTGGCTTGTATTGCTCAATTAATTGATGTGTTCTTGTCTTCTTACCTCTTCTCTTAGGAAGTTCTTCTAATTAAAAAAATGGAGCAATGGTGCAATTTATTCAGTTTTATGAGCAATACTCGAGTAAGAGATTAGAGACTCCAAGCTTAATTGTTGTTTTTGCATATGACTCTTGGATGGATGAGTGGTACCCACTACTAAACTCATCCAACAACAACTCTTGTATCTTAACAAATTTTAGTTGAATTCAGTAATATTTTTCTATGTAGTATTACTCTTTAATTATTGTTATTTAAATTCAATTTACATACAAATACATAATGTGCAAAAGAATAAATAATTAAACAATTATTAATTTCTCATATGATACAGAGAGAAGAAGAAAAATTGGATGCTGAGGCTGAGGAGGTGGAAAAGAAATTTCAGGCGGCAACGCAAGCTTTAGAGCAAAAAGATCAGGTTATAGAAGGTATGCATCATATCATAATTTGGTTATTCACTAAAAAGTGGACTTGTGTTTTCCCTCTGCATCGTATCATATTGAATTGGATGAATAAAAAAGGCTCAATCATTACACTTGTTTGTTGTATGAATAGTATTTCAGGAATCTTCATTTGTGTCAATTTTACCCTTTCCAAAATTATTCATGAAACAATTGTGGAATCCTAATGTGCGCGCACATATATATATATATATATATATATATGGGAAAAATCCGTTTATAAATTTGTTTTACAAAATACACTACGTATGACACGTCATACTCTTTATTGAAGTATGACCGGTCATACTTAATGTAGTTTGTAAGAGTTTGTAAACAAAAAGTTTCGATCATATTTAATGCAGTTTGTAAACAAAAAGTTTGTAAATATAACTTTCTTCATATATATATATATATATATATATATATATATATATATAGGGTCAGGATATTCTTACACCGGTGTAAGAGTTAGAAGTCTTACACTCAATCTTGACCATTGATCCACTTGTATCCAATGGCTCACATTACTAAAAAATTTGAGCCCTCAGATATAAGTGGGATTAACGGACAAGATTAAGAGTGTAACTTACACTGGTGTAAAATGATCCTAACTCATATATATATATATATATATATATATATATATATATATATATATATATATATATATTCAAGTTTTAAAAAAAATATCACTTAAAATTTGATGACTTGAATATTATTCTTTTGCTTGTTTATCGATTACTCAATCAAATCAGTTCTAATTGAATAATATTATAAAGAATATATTATTCTATCTACATTTTCTTTTTCTTTTTGTTTATTTTTGTCTATCACTCTCCAAAGTTGTTAGATTAGAATTTCAACTACCTTTATCATTTCTCTCTCCTGTTGAGATTCTGATCTAATAGTATTGGAGAGTGGCAGGAAAAATAAAATAAAGTAGGTAAAATAACGTATCCCATATTATAAAGACAATAAGACTCTTTTTGCCAAATTTTTAATAGGGGAAGGATATTGTAACAACCAAGTTGTGTTACTACTATGTTACTACCAATCAATCTCACCGTTAGATCACTTATGTTGATCAAACGGTTATATTTATTTCCATCTTTGTATGGTCATGATTTTCCAAATTTAATATTTTATATTTATTTCCACATTTGTATGAGTATGATTTCTCATATTTAATGCTTTCACTTTAAATATGGGGGATCATAACCATACAAAGATGAAAATAAATATAACCGTTGGATCAACGTAAACGATTTAACGGTGAGATTGATTGGTAGTAACATGGTAGTAACACAACTTGGTTGTTACAATATCATTCCCCTTTTTAATATAGCTGAATACTTATAATTTGGATTCGAAATTGGGACATATTATTTTATTTACTTTTTTTATACCTACTCTATCTGTTCCTTCCCAACACTATTAGATTAAAATCTTAACTAACTTTTATCATTTTTCTTTCCTTCTAAGATTAAATCTATTGGTGTTGGAAATTGGTAACTAAGATAGGCATCACAAAAAAGTAGATACAATATCTTATCCCCTCGACATTAATGGTTAAACTGAAGCATTGGTGGTGGCTTATTTTTTAATTTAGCAATTAACATGGCGACACTGTGTGATTGCAGAACTCAAAAAACAATTCAAGCAGCTTAGAGATTATGTTTCTAAAAGACCCCTCTCGGATTTGGAAAAGAAGCTCTTCTTTCCCGCATAAAAGAAGTGCTCTGTGAAGTAAGTTGGCTAAGGGAATTCTCAAAGGTGAAAGGAGGATTCTGTGTTTGCATCCCTTGATTGGGCTGGTTATTCTGCTGTCTCTATGAAATATTAAGAATATTTCTTCAAACAGGATTTTAAGTATTATTGTGGAAATTGTTCTGACTTTTATGTAACGCCCGTAACTAGCTTGGAAACTTATGCATATTAACTTGATTTAATTAAGTACTATAATATGCAGCGAAATTTTTTTTCTTTCGTAATTATAACACCGTATAATTAGAAGTGATAAAGTTATTTTTTCATGACTAAAATGTCATAAGTTCGAATTCAAGAAACAGTTTTTTTACAACTATATAAAAGTAAGAGTGCATACAAGGATTATCTCTACCCCGCACTCACTAGTTGAGTGTTTAATGGAGAATAGTTTTTTTTTTTTATAATTATAACACCGTATAATCAAAATGGTAATACATCATATTTTCTACACACAATAATCGAACTACTACACTATTCGTGGCTACTTCAGCTACTTGAAGTCAAGTTTCACTTGACACGTTAGACGTGTATCGAAATTACATATAACCTACTTTCTCCAAATTACATAACAAATTTAAATGAAACTTTAGAAGAAAAAAAAAGATTTGAATCTCATCATATTCAATTCTCTTCCTCGATTTTTGTGAATCCTTTGCTTCTTACTCTTTAGAAACTCACAAAAACTCAGAAATTTCCTCTCCAAACCAAGCCCAGAAAGAATTCTATAAATGGCCCAAGAAAAAGATAGATTAAAAATAACTTAACGGGCTACATCTTGCGTAGCGCCGCAACTTCATACGCTAATGACGGTGGCTTGGGCTTCAGAGCATGTTTGGTTGAAAATTCCTCTACTTGACCTCAATTTAAGTGTTTCAAGGTCCAAATATGCATTAAAGACCAAAAATTCACACTCGAAGAAGGAAAAAAAAAAAAAAACTAAGGGGCAGAAATAAGAAAGAAACACTCAAGTTTGAGTCCATTTTGAAGAGTTATCACTATTAATATTATTCAACTGGAACCGATGATCAACTTCGCCCGAATTGTAGATTAATGGATGATTGATTGAACCGTTAAATTGAATTTAAATAATAATAATAATATATAATAAATTAAAATTAAAAGCTCCAAGATCAACAAACAAAGTTGATTTAGTGTTTGAAGTATCAAATCACTTGTCTTAGTTTTTTTTTCTTAGCACTTACAAGTTACAACTCCTAAACATTTTAAACAACTGATTTCGTGCGATTGGAGATCCGATTTCTGGGTGAACCAGTTAGCCCATTCAATCCGATCCAATTTTCATAACATCAATCAGTATTAATTCGTGACCCAATATATTACTTTCATAATACCATGTATACCTGATAACCCAATATAATAAGGGCGTGTTTCGTGTACAACATATAATAAGGTACGACAGTATGAAACATGATAGTATGAAGATTGATTAAATTTTAAAACTATTCAGTGTTTGACAATGTATTATATAACATAATAATATAATATCATCCAGTATTTGATAATGCATTGTATAGTACTGATAAAATAAAAATACTCTTTAATAAAAATTTTATATAATTCTTTCAGATATATCATATTAATTTTTATAAAAATCTATTGATTAGTGTGTCCAAAAAATATATTAACTTTTATAAAAATAAAAATATTTTTTATTTTAAAATATTAATTATTGAGAATTACACTATCAGCGATGTTAATATATTAACCCCTTATCAAGCATAATCTCACCTTCTTATGCCTGATTAAAAAATTATGTTATATAAGCTTATATTATAAGGGCATGTTTGGTGCATAGTATTGGATAAAGTCTATAGTATAAGACCTGATTGTATAAGACCTGATTAAATTTTAATATTATCCAGCGTTTGATATGGTATTGTATAAGATAATATTCTGCAATATTTTAAAAATTAATATATTAAAAAAATTATTTTAATATATTAATATTAAAATGATATATTAGTTCTTGATAATTGTACTTGTAAGCAATATTAATACATCAACTCCTTATAAGGCCTAATCCCACCCCTTGGGCCTAATTAAGTTATACATCATTTTGATGTATTAAGAGGTTCTGTTATATAAGCTTATACTATACGATGATCACACCAAATAACTGAAAATGTCATAATGTATAATATAAGCTTATACTATGAAGTCTTATACATCACACCAAACAGGCCCTAAGATACTCATACTAAATAACTAAAAATAGCATAATGTATAGTATAAACTTATATTGTCGGACCTTATACATCACACTAAACAAACCCTAATTTACGTTTAATTTTGTTAATCCAAATGTTTTTAAAGTTTGAAAAAGATTAATCATTTACTAAAAACAATCATTATAAGTATGCACTAATTAAGTGCCTTTTATCTTTTCTTTGAGAAGACATCAACTAATTAAGTGCTTGTTTATCTTTTCTTTTTGAGTTCAACCCTCACATAAAAAAAAGGGTAAGAAGAAAGATAATTAGCAGAGCCATTCGGTTTGCCCATTGCCGTCACACACATCTAATCGTAACTCTAATGATGCTCTTAAGACCATTAACTAAACACACATCCCTCATCTTCTGCTAACTAAAGTCAAATCCCTTGTCGTTAGCACTGTTTTTGTTTTTGTTCTTCTTTTCTTTTCTTTTTTATTCAGTAACACAAACGCACCCACTATCACCTGAAACTTGCTGTTCCTGAACCCTCTCTCATTTTCTTCTCTCGCAACCACCACCACCAACACACACAAACATAAGAGAATTGAGGGAAAAAGAAGAAGAAGAAGAACAAATAAAAAAAAAAAGAGAGAAAAACTTTTGTTCTCTTTTCGATGGACCCGAAGTTCATCGGAAAGCCGCCGGCGACGGTGGACATAGAGCGGATGCCGGAGCGTGGGTCCCACCACCGGAGGTCTCACTCCGACACCTCCTTTCGCTTCGCCGCCAACTTCGACGACCTTCTCCTCTTCGACACTTCCGACCTCGACATCTCCAACCTCCCTTCACCGCTCCCGTCCGCCGGCGGAGGCGGCGGAGTTCCGATGTCCGTTGATTCGGACGAGTCCGGTGGGAGGCCTAGGCCGTCGGGTCCCCCCATCGGCCACCTCCGGAGCTTGTCAGTGGACTCCGACTTCTTCGATGGACTCGGATTCGCCGGCGCCGGCGACGAGAAACTTAGCGGGAAGGGCTCCGGCGAGAGGAGGGTGGGTCATCATCGGCATAGCAATTCGATGGATGGGTCTTTGACGTCGTCGTTTGAGGCTGACTCGTCCATGGTGATGGCGATGGTGGACGGTGTGAAGAAAGCTATGGCCCCTGAGAAACTCGCTGAGCTTTCTCTTATTGATCCCAAGAGAGCTAAAAGGTTCTTCATCATCATCATAAGCTACTTCAATTTTTTTCCCCTTTTTTTTAAGGATTTTTTTCTTAATAAATTCTGGGTGTATTTGAATTGTATTGTGTCTGTAACTCTGATCTTGTCATAAATTTGATCTAACTTTTATGTGTTATTTTTATTTTGTGATGGATAATTTAAAATTTCCCCCCCTTTTTAAGAATTTATTTTTTGTTAATTTTTTCGTGCTTTTAAATTGCATTTGTGTTTGTGATTCTGGTGATGAATTTGATTTTATTTATGTTGTAATGGTTATTTTCAACTTTTATTCTGGTACAGAGTTGTTTCTGCTGAAAATAATGTGGTTACGAATTATTTGATGCTTTATGATGATTTTTTGTTTGTTTAATGATAAAATTATGTAAAAGGATTGTTTGGATTGTAGGAAAAACTGGGAAAGAAAATTTTGGTTTGAAGTTTGAAAAGTTTTGTGTGTTTTACAGGATTCTTGCTAATAGGCAATCTGCTGCAAGATCAAAGGAGAGGAAAGTTCGTTATACAAATGAGTTGGAGAGGAAGGTGCAGACTCTTCAGACTGAAGCAACTAATCTCTCTGCACAGCTTACCATTCTTCAGGTATGTCATTTTCATTTTCATTTTACATTTCTAAATTCTAGCTTTAGATAAATAAACATCTAACATGTTCTTATTATTGTTTGATGGAGGCCCCCCATCTTTAACAATGATGTAGATTTATTTTATGCTGATTGTGAGTTGTGTGATCACAACAATTTATGTGGAACCCACTTAATAATTAATATCAATGGCCTTTTCTTTAAAAGAAAAATGTTGTCATTTGTAAACGTTTTTCATTGTAATGAGTTGAAAAGAAGTGAAAAGTTTCTTTCTTAATGGTTTAATGGAAGGAAAAATTATAAAAAAAGAGGTCCACAGTTTTGTATAAATTAGATTAAATTAGTCTCTATCACATCCCTTGTATTTTGTTCTTATTATACAATTATCCCTTATATTTTGAAAACTTAATCGTCAATCCCTTAACTTACACTAAACTCCATTTGAAACCCACACCACCCTCATCTGAATTTTTATATAAATTTTCATAAACCTCCTTCATAGGGGGATGTTTATGTAAATTTGAAAAATACAGAGGAGGCTTATGTAAATTTACCCTTGCATTTTGCTCTTATTGGACAAATATCTTGTCTGATGAGGGACCTAATAACCAGAGGGTTGAACTCAATGCTGAATAGCCATTGCTTGATGTCTATCTATAAATATAAATATCATCTCAAACCAGTCCTTATTTTGTAGAATATATCATCAGTGGCGGAGCCACGTTGGCTCCTGCCTGTGCCTTGGCACCAGCTGATTTTCAAAAATTAGCCACATTTTAGACGTGGGTAAATATCGTAACTAGGCTGCAGCACCTGAAAGGGATATAATTTAGTGTTTGGCACTAGCTAAATTGTTTTTGCACAAACTGAGTAGTTTTGCTGGCTCCACCACTGCGTATCATATAACATATCGTAACTAGGCTGCAGCACCTGAAAGGGATATAATTTAGTGTTTGGCACTAGCTAAATTGTTTTGGCACAAACTGAGTAGTTTTGCTGGCTCCACCACTGCTTATCATATAACATATCTGTTATATGATATGTTCTCAATTAGGTTTTTTGGCTGAATACTGTTATAGGATTACATCAGATTATCAGGGAGAAGTATAAGTGTAGATGAGATGACATTTTTCCCCGTTAATACTGTGTAAAAATCCACTTGAACTTTAATGCAAGTGGTAAGGATGGGGTGGGTTATGCATGATTATAGAATCAAACTCCCTTGTTGCATCCTGTCTTTAGTTTTGTCGTGCACTGCTGTCTTTAAACATCTTCTCTGCTTACTACATGATTAAAGTAATTTTGTTCCGAACAAGTTGGTTTTGTGAGCTCTGTCAATTTCGTGATTTTTTTTTGCCAAACTTAACATTTGCTTGTTCCAACCGAGGATAAAAAAGGAGAATTTTATTAGGCAGATGGCAAACATAAAACTTTGACCAATCTCCTTTTCCTTGATTCAGCTATGCAATTTGCTTATACTAGGACATTATGAGAATTTGGTTTTTGATACTGCCCTGAGGCATTGAATGATCCATGTAGTCAACCTCACTTAGTGGGATAAGGCTTCATTGTTGTGGTTGTCGTTTGTTAGAACTGTAGTTTAGGAGTTTCCTAACTACTCGTACTACAGTGTGTAGTACACTGTACTTTAATCTCATTATTTATATGTATATAAATATAATACAGGCCTGCAGTCTATGGTGTTCAATTTTTTCGAAACTGCTTTAAATTGTTGAAGTTGGTTGGTTTGTTTTTAGCTCCGAAATCTGGAGGCAGTCCTCTCCTTGTACTACTCTCATCAAGAGTCAAGGCCAACTTGTGGAGTGCCATGTTTAAAAATTATTGTCAATTTATGTACCAACGGACTGTACTGAAGTAACCAATGACACATCCTTCAAGACACGTGGATTTTTCAGATGGGTTCAGAGAAACTTCTCATGTTTCATTTTTGTGTTTTCGTGAGGAGTAAAGATGGCAAGGTTCTTTGACAGTGTACTATGTGTGCAATGATTCAGTTGCTTTTGTGTTTTGAACTGGTCACACAGCCTCAATTTATTGGGCTGGCCAATAAGGCCCATATAAGGGGTCATACCCCTGCATCCTTAAAATGAGATAAATGTTGTTTCATTACACTGAATCTTACTTCTCATACACACGCACCTCATGCATCAGGTGAAGATGCTTACCTCACACCTAGTGGGGCCCACAAAGGCAGAAACGGTTACAGCTCTCCTCTGACTCATCATTGGAGAATTTTTTCCACCTATATATACCTCTCTTTTGCCATTGAAGAGGCACATTTCGTACACCAGTTCTCCTTGTTCTTACACTGTTGAAATACAGAGCCATCATGCCCAACACTTCCCCCTTATTATCAACCTTCGGCTGAGACGAGCTTGCGGTGACTTTCTTTTAGCTTAGGTTCATATCTTTGCTTCATTGATCATTGTTATATCAGCATACTTTACCCCTAGAGGGAAACATATCCCTTTCTACCCCCTAAACAGTTCACTTTGGTTGGAGAGGAATGTCAAAATTCTCAAGGATGATTTCTTATAGTTATCGCCACTTTGGGATATAGTGGTCTTCTTAGCTCCTTTGTTGTGTTTGACTAGTAACTATTGGGCTATTGGCATGCATTGCTCACCCCCCCCCCCCCCCCCCCCCCCCCCCCCCCCCTAATAGGATATATTATCCTCGTCTCTTATGAATTTCTTCTGATAAAATAAAATAGGCAATGACTGTTCTTAGTTAATGCTATAACACTAAAGGAAGGTAACTTACACTGTACTAAAACAGTGACTGTGAAATATAGATTACAGATTTTATTGGTCCAACACTATTGTCTTTCAAGATCCCTTTAGTTTAAATTGCTTTCACCACTATTCAGGTCTGTTTTATGAGCAAGATTCAGAGTAGAGATTACATATTCAAAACTTAATTTTGTGCTTTTGCATGTGAATCTTCGATAGATGAGTGGTCCCCTTTGCCCCACCAGTTGAACTCATCGGAAAACCACTCTTGAATTTTAACAAATTTTGGCTGAATTTAGTCAAACTTTACTGTCTATGTACCATGACTCTTTTATTATTATTTGTTAAGATCAATTTACATACACACATTATGTCCAAAAGAAGAAAAAAGGCAACAAACTTACCAGCGTCTCAAATGATGCAGAGAGATACTACAGAGTTGACCACTGAGAATAAGGAGCTCAAAATGCGGTTAGAGGCTTTGAAACAAGAAGCACAGCTTAGAGAAGGTTTGCTTCATTTCATATTTGCTTCTGCCTCAAAAAGTGGACTTGTGTTTTCCTCCGTTATCATACCATATTGAATTGGATAAATAAAACTGTCTCAATGATTACACTTGTTTATTGTATGAATAGTATCGCATGAATCTTCATATGTCAATTTTACCCTTTCCATAATTAAGCATGAAAGAATTGGGGAATCCTTATATATATATATAATTAAAAATATATTCAAGTTCCGAATAAAGTAAGGGAAACTGTCCCTTTGTTAAAAAATAAGGATAAGATTGCATACAATCGATCCCTACTCCTACACTTGCAAGTCGAGGAGCCTTATGCAATGGAGTTTGCCCTCTCCTCAAGTTCAGAATAAGATTATTGCTTGGAATTTGACAACTTGCAGATTATTCTTTTGTTTGCTTTTAAATTTAGCATGTGAATATTAACATGGCAACACTGTAATTGTAGATCTCAATGAGGCATTGAGGGAAGAAATTCAGCGCCTTAGGGCACAAAATAGTCATTTGGGTGCTATAACTGGTGATCCTTCTTTTGGTGGGGTGTTCTCCCAGTTGGCCTCCCAGTTTGCCATGCAACGTTTGACTAATCCTCCGCCCCAGCAGGCACAACAGCAGCCACAGCATGGCCAGCCTCCTCCTCCTTCTGATCACCCTTTCAATGGGCCGCGCCACCCTAACTTCATGGACTTCAATCAACAGAAGTAACTCATAATAGCAGCAGTAAATGATTGGTTACAGGGAATATACATATCATAAGTAACACCTTGTACATATATGTATGTAAGGTGAGGCTTGTGATGGTATCATTGTGCAGTTCAGGGTCCGTAGTGCTGTGTTGTTTTTTATCTTCTTCAGTTATGGGATAGTATCGTATCCTATTATGTACTTTCTGCAATTCTAGCTTATAAGCACAGCCTTTGAAATATATGTATTACAGTTCTTGGGTTGAATCACAGTTAACATGTAGAAGGACAAGTTGATAATAGATGCTGAATGAAGTTTATTAAGCAGTTTCTTGAATTACAAAGCAGGTTATTGACAACATGTTCTCGGTATGCCTTAGGTTCTTAGATTATGAGTTCATAAGTTCAGGATTTTTAAAAAACTAGCATGGTGACAATGAGATTCAGGGATTGTATAATTCGATGAGAACTTTACATTAATTTTAAGATCTTCATTGAATATCATTATTTAGTGAAATGAAACGTTACAAGCATATATTGATTTAATTATTTATCAATAACACTCGCAAACATCAATAGGTTATTTGCAAATTTAGTGCTGCTATTTCGACGGACAAGAGCACTGAACAGAAATTCGGATAGTGGGACCTAGCCGAAAAAGTGAATTACAGTGACATCGGTTTTTCAACTTAGCCACTTCTTCGTGTAAGCGTCCTATAGCATTCTCCTCCTGGCATGGAAATTATTTGTGTAAGGTTAGACACTTTAGTTTAGACATTGAACTAAATCAGAGTATGAGATTCGGATCTGTTTCCAAATGGGTTAAGAGCCCGTTTGTTTCTCTTTAAAAAAAAGTAACTTTTATCTCTTTCTTATTTTAAAAGTTCTTTTCACAAAAGTTAAAGCTATTTATATTTTTATAAAAATATTTAGTTATTGAAAAAAATATTTGGCTTTTGACTTCTGCTTTTTTTAGAAGTTGAAATTTTTAGCTTATGAAAAAAGTAAGTTTTTGGCTTTTTTTGTGACTTCTGTTTTTTTTAAAAGCAGATATCCAAATGAACTAAAACTGAAAAGTACTTTTTTTCAAGAAAAAAAATAGCTTTTGGAGAAAAAAAAAAGTCCATCCAAACGGGTCCTAAGTATGTTAATATGAAGGAGATGGTGTGTATGGTCTTCGTCTAACCTCAGATAGTTAGAAGGTGCTAAGGGGGGATGGTGTGTATGGTCTTCGGCTATGGCTGTGAGTTTGGAGGGTATTTGTAATAGAGAATAAGATGAACAATAAAGGAGCCTTAGCCTAAGACTCCTTTAGGGTGTGTTTGGTTGGAGGATTTTGATGAGATAGATAGGCAAATGAAAAGTGGGATTATTTAATCACCATGTTTGGTTTAACGGTTTCCTTGCTTGCCTACCAAAATCATATAGCCAGCAACCGACGTTTGCATGTCATTTTGATCAAAATAGCCGGCTAACATAAACCCACTTGACATGTGGTATTGTCAAATATCTACCTAAATGGTAAGTGCGTCTACTAACCAGGTGACCAGTGTACCCCCTGATTTGGAGTGGTGGCTGTATAGTTGTGGATCGGTGAAGGGAGGATGATGTGGGTTTGTGGTGGCTGTTAATGGAGGGCGGTTCGGTGATGGTGGTCGGTTGTGAGCTTGTGGGTTTTGTAAAGAAAATTGGTGAAGTGTGGATGGTGATGGGTTTGACCGGCGGTGGTTATGGAATTGGGTTCCTCGATTTGAAGATGGCTGGTTCGCTGGTCCGATGGTGGTTGTGGGTGTTAGTATATGGATGTCCTAGAGACAATCTTTTGATTAGATTAGGACATATGTGGACCTTTTTATATTGTCGCAAATAAATAATAAGCACTCTTTATCCTGTTTCATATTTTGTCTCAATATTATTGTTAATATATTATATGAGTAACTGGATAAACCCATCGGAATAAAATAGGTATCTCTTGAGTATCTGTGATGAGATCACGATCATGAGGATTTAAGGATATCAGATGTTTATTCCTAATTTTATGTTCCTAGTCTAGAGACACTGAGAATGGGGATCAGTAATCTCGGCTAAGCCTAGCACGACTTATCTACTTGTATTCGGATACAAGGTAAAGACCTCATGAGCTACAGATATAGAGATGTCTTAGCTAAAGTCGTGGGTGGACCTATAAAGGTATAGCTCGCACTGAACAGACCCACAAAGAGACTCTGAGGGAATCTTACAAAAGTATCATTAGAGCAGTCTCTTAATATTTGGGTATCTCTTTCCTTAGACCATAAGTTGTCACCTAGACTGTGTTCTAGAAGGAATGTTTTGATTGTATACCTCGTCTGCCTGAAACATGGAGACTCATAGGTATACTTGTGGGCATGTCCTGAAAGTGCACAGGCCTAGGGTGATAAGCTGAAGGAATTCGTCAAATCTCTGTAAGGGATTAGGTTATCTGTAAACCGGAGAAATCAGGATGACATTTACAGGACTCGGGAATCTATGCATAGTAAAAGAGATCATGAGATGATCTGCCTTTAGAGTCAATAAATTGAAGATTCCCTATTTCGAATTAAAGCTTACCCTAAACCGCAAGGGTTGATACATTTCCTCACCCTAGGTTTAAAGGGAAGGTAACCGAGACGAAAAGAAATACATACGGTAACCAAATATATGCAATAAGATGATCATGTCATTAACCTAATTAGCTCTGGGGCAACAAAGCATTGCTAGTGCTCTATGTTGTCATTAAATGGGTTGTGGGCTTGTTGGGCCGAAGCCTATTTATGTCAATGGCTATGTTGGGCCTAATGGGTCACACACTAACACCTTATTGTCTTGATGAATATAGCATTAAAGGTATTGGGGAAAACATAAAGTTGGCGCCCCCAGCGTGGGAGTGGCGCCCTCAGAGTGGATGCTACTGTCTGGTTCTGTAATTTGGCGCCCCAAGCGTGAATCTGACGCCCCAGGCGCCATCCACAGGGCTGGGTGACCCAAAACAAGGTCATTTAACCTATCTATGGTTTTCCACTCATAACTTGAGCTATACTCACTCAAATTACACCATTTTGGTCTCTATGGAAAGCTAAGAGAAATTTCTACAACTTCCATAGAGACATGAAAGTCCAATTCCGTCACATTGGGTATGAAAATTGGTCAACCGGACAGGATGTCTTTGTTTTCTCAACATTTCCCAATTTAGCACTAGGTACCTAATTTAGTTTCCAGTTCAACAATCCAATACTTAATGAGCATACATATATTGAACTTAAAGTAATCATCAATTACAAATCATGTTCATTACAATTCATGGAACTTAGCTTACAAAACACTATGATCACTCCCTTGGCTCCATCAACAAAGAGATAACCAAAGGCATGAGCATAGGCTAAGTCCATTCCAAATAAACAGAACATACATCTATCAATTGTCTATTAATTACAATCTTATACATATGAGCTACAAAACAACATGTATAATATCAAAATACAGGATCCTCATGCATCACTACTAATCCAAGTATGGCCACTTGCCACTGGTGGCTCCTGCATCATTCTTACCTGAAATGGGATCCCCACAACACGGGGTGAGATATACGAATATATCCAGTAAACCAGGGGTCCTTGGAGCATCTCTCCACCCCACAGTTCCATATCAGTGTAATAGCAATAACAATAATAATGCAGTAAATACATATCTATGCAAAGTGCAATAACATCTCCAGGAGAAATCCCTCGAGTTCTCAAGTTGTCCTAAGGAAACTCAGATGCAAATAGTCCTACTGGCCAGCTAAACTACCAAGTATGATTTACGCATCGTCATGCAACAGACCAACATAGGGAAACACCATCCTATGCCACACCAAATGCATACACATACGTATAACAAAGCATTACACTATTTCATTGCATTTATATACACTATCACAACCACTACCCAATCAGGGCTTGGTGGAACAATCAAGGGAATTACACCCAAGGTCCAAAGGCTTACCTCAAAGCTTCCGTTCAACCTTTGTTCACCACCAACAGGTTCAACAACCAATCAACTTTGGTTTCAACAATGACTTACAAGTTACACACCTACACCAAGGTGCCATAGCATCAATCATACTATCCAATGAATATTTACTTATATCCATTACTACCACATCAACTCTACATATTAACTTAGCATGAGCTCACCTATTCCAAAGAGCTAATCAAGCTCCATAGCTTGCTCCAATGGTTGATCACTCACGGTTGGTCCAAATGTCTCAATCCTAGACATCACAAGGACACAATCATCAATCAACTAAGCCAAACCATTGATCATAATTACAAGAAAACTCACAACCAAGTATCATATTCTTGCAATATTCAAAGTATAGTCATATAACTATCTAAGCTCATTTTCACTGATTAATCATCATTCCTAGCATTTCTCATAACATACACTAAACTCTATTCTTCCTAGAACATAGCTAATTTAATCACATTTCATAAAAACCCCCAATTCACTATTCATAAACCCTAAACTCATGCAAATCTCCAAGAATCATGTGAAAGAGAGTGGAAACTTACCACCAATGATCACACAATAGAGGAGTGAGCGTTCCTCAAGCTTCCATGGAGGTAGAAACTCTCAAACACCTCAATTTCTCCAATGGGCCGAATTTTTGGAGGAGGATATCCCACTCCACAATGCTCCCCACTACAAACTAAGCTAGGATCATGAAAGAGGGGAAGATTCTAGGTGGTTTAGGCTTTTGAATCACTCCAATCGATTAAGATTTGCTCACTCTAGGGTTTTCTCTCCCTCTCCCTCTCTTCTTCTTCTTCTTCTTCTTTTTCCTTCCATTCTCTGGCTGTTCGACGGGCAAGGGGTGGGAAATGGATTCCGTTTTGTGTTTTATGACTTAACATAGGTTAAGTGGAATCAAGTGGGTATTGGTTCATTTATCTATTCAACTCCATTAATTACCAAACTTTACCCAAAAGTCTGGAATATTATTCTAGGAATATTTTCATTTTTATTTTTATATTTTGGGCACTTTTGCCTGTACCCATTTATACCCCTTAATTTTCACTGAGTACACTTTTTAACTCAGAATTGACCCCATCTCACTTAATTAAGACTTATACTTAATTTTCCTCACTACTACATGCTTAATTAATTAATCACACTTGATTTACTAATTAATTAAGCTGGGCTATTATAGGCACCCCACCTTTTAGCGATTTTGTCCGCAAAATCAAGAACGTACCTATCCTTAAACTCAGGATATTGTCGGAGAATCTCGTCTTCCCGCTCCCAAGTGTAGGGGTGTTCATCAACCGATCCAAACCGATCCAAA